GAATAAAGTCATAAAATTGAATTGGTAATTTTTTGTGTTAAAAGCAGAAATTAAAATAAATTGAATTGCTGCTAAGACGCGAAGATGCGGCAAATAGCAGAGCCAAAGGCGCACAAAAAGAAAATACAAAGCACAAAAAATATACCAGAACCCAAAGGCAAACGCGCAGAAAATGTAAATGAGTCGCATCGGCTAGAGAAATAAGGGATTGGGCGGAGCAAGCTCTGGCATTGGGCACAGGTTCCCTGGTCCACGAAATGAAAACAAAATAAAATGCTCAACCAAGTGGGCAAAGAAAAGTAAAAATCTAGAGATTTGTCATTGTTGTCACGGTCCTTCTAATACCCTGTATTTGGAAAGTTTAACTGAGGTTTCAAGTTTTATACTCGTTTTTTCCTAATAGTTTAATTCCTTTGAATTTACTGACTTATTCAACATTTAAATAATATTCAAATAATTTCAATATAAATTAGTTTTAAAACTATGTTTTTTTTTACATTTTTTAAAAAAAATTATTTTTGGATAAACATCCATATTTATTACATATTGACAAAATTGTATTATTTGTTCCTGAATTTGATAAACATCAAGAGTTCCAAAATCTCAAGAATACAAATCTTTTTAGATTTACAATTTACGGTAAAGAGTAACTAGCAGTCGATCAGTACCTAGAGTACATTTGTTAGTAGGGTTTCCTTTTGTTTTATTTTATGGCTGCCATGCTCGTCTTGTTGTTCCCGTTGTTGTTGTTGTTGCTGTTTTTGTAATTGGATTACTGCATAAATTAAAGTATTTGCCGTGGCATCATCAAATAAGATTTGCAACGCCGTGCTGGCATTTTGGTCCTCAGACCCCACCACCCTCCTAGCTCAGAGCACCCCCTCGCTGACCAAGCTAACGAGCTACAATGCGCGAACATCAAAAATCGCAAGGATAAGTGCGGCGAAAAAAAAATAACAAAACGACACACAATATAAATAAATATACGATAGGGATAGGGGCTAGAGGGGCCGCAGCAAGTGGCTGGAGGACACGTAAAAGTAAAGTTTATTGCATAATTTTAGGCGGCTTAGTTAAAGTGTAATGTAAACAAAAAGGAGGAGCAAGGCGAGGGCCAAAAGAAAAACAGAGCAACAGAAAAATTGAAAAAAAGAGCGACAAAGGGAGGGAGAGAGAAAGAGAGAGAGACAGAGAGAGCGAGAGGGAAAAAGCTCCAAAGATGGAACAATAAAATTGCAGATTATATGAAAATATGTTTCTTTCGAGCATAAAACAAGATTTACAAAACCTGAGAAAGCAGCTGACGGCCCAGAAAGTTGGCATTAAAACTGAATTATAATCATGCTCATCTATAAGCAAATTGAATTGTATTGACGCAGGGCTGAGAATACTTCTCAGTTTTGCTAGGGCTAAGTTGAGGTAACATAAAGACGAAAATATACCATAAGGATTTAACTAGAACAATGCTCGGTTCCCCAGTTAGAAGAGGATTTTACTTGATTCTAACATGTGCATAAAAATATACTATGAGGATTTACCTTTAACTTTAGTTCTCCAGTTGAAAAGGCTTTTCAATTGCTTTTAGCATGCGAATCAAAATATACCACCAGGATTTACCTTTAATAGTCATATTTCTCTAGTTGAAAGGAGGTTAATATTGGTTCTAGCATGTGGGTAAAAGTTCCTGTCCTTTTTGTAAATTCCTGGTCAAGTACGAAGAATCGATTGGACAGTAGAAAAATAAATTGCTAAGATTGTGCTTAAAGTTTCATATATAACTATTTTTAACTTTTGCAGATGCTGGCTTAAAGAGAAGAATATTTTTAAGAATTTCTCAATGTTTGGATGATGTATAAAGGATTTTCAGGCAGCTGGACTTTCCATAAATAAGGCTATCCAAGTATTTACCTAATAAGAAAGTTATTAAAATTGTATATAAGCTTACGTCTAAATATTAGTTTTCGACTTTTTCTTTCAACTTCAACCACTACTTCAATTTCGTTATCTACACAGATTTTCCGACTTGCCACATTTTATATTTATGCCTGCCAATTCCTTAAAGTATATGCTAGGCACACATATAGAGAAAATGCCCAATGCTCATCTAAAATTCAGCAATATACAAATACCAAAGTAGCTCAAACTAAAATATGCGCGATCCCAAAATACGTAGTCCATATCTCTCGCTGTTAACTTACAAAAACCAAAGCTTCCGCTCAGCCTCAGGATATGCCAAACGCAGCGTGGGCTACTCGACAAGCAATAACAACAACAACAACAAACAGCTGCCGCAGAAAGCGACAAGCAACGAAAAATCACTTCAAAAATTTGAAACTAAACACACAAAAACCGCAAATTTCATTTTGATAAAATTTTAATTTGGCCAAAAGCACGCAAACTGAACTGGACGGGCGTCCATGGCGCGAGGACCTGAAGGGCCTGGTGGCAGCGCTACACTGGCTTTCGCTGTGTTTGTGTGCGTGAGTTTGTGTATCTGTGTCTGTGCGTCTGTGCGACCCAAACGCGCCTCAATAATTCAAAGATGTTAAGCCGCAAATTGGCGCTGGCGTTGGCAGCGTTGACGTTAGGCATCGGCATCGGCATTGGCATCAGCAGCTCGACAGCTGGGGCCACACGCAGACAGGATACACATCCGCTGGGGGTTACACTCTACAAAAATACACACACACACACACACACACACACATACACACTCACACAGCATTGTCGGCTGACACGCACGCATTAAACTCTATTGGGTGCTAATGTTTTTTGCCCAACCCTCAGACTCCCAGCTTCCCATATCAGGAGGCAAAAATTTTCATAAATTCAGCAATGAGCCTGTCGACACACACACCGACACATACACATACACAGACACAGACACATACGCAGTTGCCTGCATGTGTAATAAAAATACGCTAAAATGTTTGTGCCATATACACAAACACGTTGCTTATTGCCTACTTCTGGGCGCGTGATGCAGGCGCTCAGCCGAGTGGACGGGCAGACAGAGGGGAAAAGGCGGGACTCCTCGGAGAAGGTCGTGGCAATGTTGTTCATTTGTGGCAACTTCCGTTAGACGGTAATGTGGTTGCTGTTGCTGTTTTTGTAGCTGCTTGCTGCGGATGCCAAAGCTCGAGATATTTTAAAGTGCGCCACAAAGTGTGCTTTAAAATGTAAGAAAATACGCAACGGCGTTTAATAAATCGCTTGAAAGGTACTTAAAAATTAAATATTACAAAGAATTCCCCAGTTATTAATTGGGATAAGTTTCTGCTATTTTATTCTATTTAAGTTTGTAATTTTCGCTTTCGAAACTGGATTCTTGTGAACCTTATCGTACAATAGTCTGAAATTCGCTAATTTCGGTTGAATTGGAGAAGTTCGAATAAGGAGGAGATTGCTAAGCTTTAATTTTATCATAGGGAAGTTTTCTTCATCAATATTCTTTAAATTGTCTCAGATTTTTTTTTTTTTTGAGACAGAAGCTTTAATATTTTAAATATTCAAATTTTTTGAGATTTCTTAGTGGAACATATTTTCCATTTCAAATACGATAATCTTCCCTAATACTTTGTTATTTGGGTGCTTCTGCTATTTTTGGAAACAACATCCATTCTCCTGCTTGACATCTAGAATCCATTTGGTATATATGCTTATGCGCGGTCTTATCGGCGCCTCCAGTAAACAGACAGAGGGTTGCCATAAAAATTTGCATTTGACTAATGCCAGGCGGCACACACACACACACAGACACACGCACACTGACTGTAAACGGGACGACGTTATCCGATAAGCGACTTCTCCTACCCTCTCCAGTCGCGTCTTAACCCTTACACAAGAGCAACAACAAAAACGAATAGAAGAGGCACAGCTACAACAATGGATCGAAAGGACATGCCAATGCGTTCGCCGATTTCTTGAGCGCGATACGTGCAAGGATTTTTTTCTAGCACAGTTATGTGCAGACCCCACCGCTCAGCCCAGCAGCCACCCCCGTCGACATCATCAGTGCACCCCATGCCCCTTATCAGCGACTCCTTCATATATAAATATATACATATAGTTGGGGGCGATTCTGGCGACGCTTTTACGCTATTTCCTATTAAGCTATTTGTTGCCAGCTCTCTTTTCGCTCGTTCTCTCTCCTTCTATTTCTCTCTCCCTCCCTCACCTTTACGCTCTGTTGTACTCTTGCCAAATTCGTATATGTAAGTTGCATAGCAAAAGATACTACTAAAAGCTTAACTCTCGACAGACACACACACACACTAACACACACATGTATCTCGTTTATCGATTTTCATCGCATTTCCCCCCTCTGTCGCTGTCTGCAGTTGCACCCTGTGCCACACTCCATACATGCATGTGTGTGTGTTTGTGTGTGTGTGCGAGTGTGTGTGCAAGTGTGTGGATTTTTGACATGCCAACGCATTTTAAATTTGCATTTTTTGGCACCGACACTGGCAAAATTTTTAACTAAAAGCGTAGCGAGTCCGCATATTGGATATGTTTCAAGTGTGTGTATAACTATTCGTCTGTGTGTGTGTGTGTTGATGTCCGTGTGCTGTTGTGCCGCATGTTAAAGTTGGCAAATATCTAAAACTGCCAAAATATGCCGACTATTCCCACTCACAGCAGCAGCCAAAGCAGAGTGCAAGAGGGCAGATCTCTAGAGCAAAAGCGAGTTGCAATGCCCATATCAACTGGGCTTCAATCGAAGCTGCGAAGCGGGCCGGTGCGGATGATCTGATCGTCTGTTCGCATTGAATGTTAATAACAGGTAATGTTAATTAACAGCAGGTGCTGCACACAGTATATAAAGACCGCGCATCTGTAACCGGGCTTCAGTCGAAGCTGCGAACCGGGCCGGTGCGGATGATCTGATAGTCTGATTGCATTGAATGTTAATAGCAGGTAATGTTAATTAACATCAGGTGCTGCAGACAGTATATAAGGAGCGACCGTCTGTAACCTGGCTTCAGTCGAAGCGGGCCGGTGCGGATGATCTGATAGTCTGTTTGCATTGAATGTTAATAACAGGTAATGTTAATTAACAGCAGGTGCTGCACACAGTATATAAGGAGCGACCGCCTGTAACCTGGCTTCAGTCGAAGCTGCGAAGCGGGCCGGTGCGGATGATCTGATAGTCTGATTGCATTGAATGTTAATAACAGGTAAATGTTAGTTAACAGCAGGTGCCGCACACCGTATATAAGGAGCGACCGTCTGTAACCTGGCTTCAGTCGAAGCTGCGAAGCGGGCCGGTGCGGATGATCTGATAGTCTGTTTGCATTGAATGTTAATAACAGGTAAATGTTAGTTAACAGCAGGTGCCGCACACCGTATATAAGGACCGACCGTCTGTAACCTGGCTTCAGTCGAAGCTGCGAAGCGGGCCGGTGCGGATGATCTGATAGTCTGTTTGCATTGAATGTTAATAACAGGTTATGTTAATTAACAGCAGGTGCTGCAGACAGTATATAAGGAGCGACCGTCTGTAACCTGGCTTCAGTCGAAGCTGCGAAGCGGGCCGGTGCGGATGATCTGATAGTCTGTTTGCATTGAATGTTAATAACAGGTAAATGTTAGTTTACAGCAGGTGCCGCACACCGTATATAAGGAGCGACCGTCTGTAACCTGGCTTCAGTCGAAGCTGCGAAGCGGGCCGGTGCGGATGATCTGATAGTCTGTTTGCATTGAATGTTAATAACAGGTAATGTTAATTAACAGCAGGTGCTGCACACAGTATATAAGGAGCGACCGCCTGTAACCTAGCTTCAGTCGAAGCTGCAAAGCGGGCCAGTGCGGATGATCGATAGTCTGTTTGCATTGAATGTTAATAACAGCAGGTGCTGCACAGTATATAAGGAACGCGCAACTGTAACCGGGATTCAGTCGAAGCTGCGAAGCGAGCGCGTGCAGATCTTGGGTTGGTGATAAAATGCGTGTGTGTTAGTATAAAAATATGAACAACAGATCGTGTATGCAAGCTACATAGAAGAAGAGCGAGTAGTCTAAATAAAGCAGCCAGCTATAAAAAGGCACCAGTTGAAGCTGCGAGCCGACCCGGTACAGATGGGCTAATAGTGAGTTTGAATCAAATGTTAACAACAGATCATATCAATAACAGATCATGTTGGCTTACAGCAGGTGAAGCCCACAGTATATAAAGGGCGCCCCTTTGCAGCTGAGCCTCAGTCGAACTTGCGAGGCGGGCAGGTACGGATGGTCCAAAAGTAAGTTTGCATTGAATGTTAATCACAGACCATATTAGTATTAACAACAGATTATTTTAGTTTACAGCAGATGCAGCCAAGCGTATGTAAAGGGCGCCCATTTGTAGCCGGGCTTCAGTCGAAGCTGCGAGGCGGGCCGTTGCAGATCTTCATTTAATCTTAATGCGCGTGTGTGTTAATATAAAAATATTTGTATTATATCGTATAGGCAAGCTAAAAAGAAAAAGAGCCAGTACTGTAACTAGGCTTCAGTTCAAGCTAACTTGTCCTTAATGAAATAGTGAGTTCCTAACTCCAGCTCTTTATCCATATTGCACCCTATTTAATGTAATTTACAATTATTATTGTGTCATCCCCTCTCTGTGTGTGTTACTCCCTCTCTTTTCCTATTCTATATTGTACATTCCCTACATTTCAAAACTCACGCATTTGTCTTACTTCATTATTATTACTCCATACCATTTTTTCTGCCTTTGCATTTCTTGTGGCATAATTTCTTAAACATAAACATTCAGGCTGCGATTTATATCACGCGGCTTGGAAATTATTCCAATCGAATTGTTTTATTTAAAATCTTTTAATAATATTTTAAATATTGCAATTAAATAACAGAAAAGTATATTAATCAATTTAATTTGGACATATAAGAAGGACAAATCATTGTCGACAAATAATAGTTTTTCTTTAATATGAGTCTGTTAAAAAAGCTTTCAACAAAATTGTAGAAAATTTTTTTCTCTGCTTTTATAAACTTAAAAAAAGGATTTGTTAGAAATCACATAAATAAATGTGCTGAGAGCTATAAAAAAAATACTTGGCTCTGAAACATCCGACGTCATAAATTATGCCAAAATAAGCGAACTCAAATATATTGTATTAATTTTCATTGGACTTTCATTCAATATTCATTGGAACTCAAACAATGCCGTTGCGTTTTATTTTATCGTACTTTATGTGAATTCTTAATAGTTATATATAGAATAACAAAGCCTCTTTGTTATAATTTTGTTTAAAAGTAGTTAACTTTGACAATTACATTTAAGATTCTAATTTTTTAATTTATTATTATTGTAATTTAGTTATTATGCGATGACTTTGGTTGACAATGAAAACATCAAGACTATTTATGATGGGCAAGGTTCTCCACATTTATATTCTAATCGGTTTGTTTATTGTCCTTTTTCATTATGGTAATTGCCTGTTTTATAAATTTGACAGTTTATAAAAAAATATGGGCGAGCTGTGCATAAAATTGTATACCTACTCAAGCAAATAAGATACTCTGAGTTTTCAACAGTCGCTTGACGTTAACCTTCAGAGTTGCTTAAGTTTTTGTTCTATTAAATTTATGAGCAGCCCCACGCAAATACACTCCCACACACACAAGCGCACACAAACCTACATAAAAACTGACTACAATAAGTCACTGTCATATTCCGCCCCTAAATGTGGGCGTGTGCTTGCAAGTGTGTGTGTGTGTGTGTATGTGTGTGAAAGAACCGCAAGTGGCAGCCACTGTGATTTTGAAGGTAACTTTTGTGAATTATGTGATTTATTAATGTTGATACATTTGGCCAAGGCCGAATATTTGCAACTTTCCCAACACTTTTACAAGAATCTAACAACACTGTTTCCCCTCCAAATTTGTCTGCCGCACCGCGCATAAATATTAATTAAATTCTTTGTGCATATGCGCAAGCTCTCCCGCCCGCCAAAAATCACACCCCTGGCGCACATTTCAAACTGGTCTCATTAAGTTCAGCCACGCCTACAATTAAAAGAAAGACCCTCTCCCTCAGAAAAAAAAACTTATTATAAGCGCTTATAATAGATTATGTCAAAACTCAAACTCGCGCACAAGTTTGCCAGCGAAATGTCAAGAGGGGGTAAATAGAAGAATGAAAAAACAAAACACAAAAATAAGAAAAATAAAAAAAAATTGTTTAAAATTAATTTGAAAACATAAAACGCTTGCAGCACTTGGATATAGGGCACGGGGCAGGGAATTAAAAAAATAATAAAATATTTCCTCCGCCTGGGCGTTGAATTTGTTGTGTGTCACGGACAGCGTCCAGTTTTAACAGTTCGACAAATTTGTTAGCAAGCCAAAAATGTTGGCTCCGTCGTCTTTTTTTTCATAAATTTCTTTAGCTTTTCCCGTTTTCTTTATTTGTGCCTGGCAAATGGCAGCCAAGCGCCGCATAATGAAGACTTGCAGAGTTTCGCGGTTTCGACAAATCGACTTCAAGCTCAAACTTAAAGCTGTATTCATTGACATGAATGTCTGAGTGCTTGAGTGTATTCATGTTTCAGTTTGTACATAATTGTTTGAAGCCGCTTTAATGCACATGCCATGCGAGTCTACATGCGTCTAAGCCTATTTTCATTAATCTAATTAAGCCACGTTTGCGATAAGCCTTATGGCCACGGCCAATCTAATGAAATTATGCCACAGCAGCCACTCACAAGCACAGACACACAACCAAACAGCCACACGGCCAAACACTCGCACACAAGCACAAAAACACACACACGAGCCTGCATTGTTTGACCTCCCGCCTTAATATTATTGATTTGGGGTATTAGGATCAATTAGTTGTTAAGGCATTTTGATAGCATCATCGAATTAGCAAATTGTAAGCAACATTTGATATTGAAACAATTCCAATTTAAAGCTGAATGAAGTCTTAAATATTAACAAATCAAAGGCAAGGCTTTCCCGCTCTTATTTGTATTTAAACTAAATAAAAACAGAAAATGGGATACCACAAATTTTACCCAAAAGAAGTTACTTAATTTAATATGCTTGCAAATTTATGAGCTATTTTTTAGTCCAGTTAATTTGTGGTTTTCTCATATTAAGCACCATTTTAAAGACAAAATTTGTTATATTCGACCTAATTAATTTATCAACATTATTTTTAACAAACTAGCAAGACTTGTTTGCGATATTTTGAACAATATTTTAGCATATTGTGTGTCCCTTACATATAATTAGCTTAAGCTGTCATTGTTTATCTTTATATATAAAACTTTTTTGCCCTAACTGACTGATTGACTGACTGACTGACTGACTGATTGACTGATTGACTGATTGATTGACTGAGGTACGGGCTTACATTGGAAATCCTTCCATGGGGGAAACGGGCATCAAATATTTGGTAATATTTCGTACTCAAACTTATTTCTAATAATCTTAATGGAAATTAAGAGAGACGTGTTTCGCACTTTTCACAGAATCCAAGCTTCCTTTGCATTTCGAAATATCCATCGCTCTTGGGTTGAAAATTTTCTTGTCAAATAAACGAAGGTTTACTTTCCTTTTCTAACATGCCGGAAGCCACTGAGTCCAGCTTTGGTTTCTTTTCTAGATGGACTTTAAACACGCGGGGAGCTGACTAAGAAGTTATATCGATAATGTTAACCACAAAACCTGTCACGCGCAAGGCCGGGTAATAGCCGCGAGTAATAAATGTTGCGAATCACTATTTTTTTTTGTTTAAGTAATAATATTCCGTTTTAACAATCTGCCCGACGGCTGAAACATTGCCATTTCTTTACTCCTTCTATCAAAATTCACCAAAGAGAATTTTTTTAGCTTCATTAATAGAAAATAATCCATTTAAACAGTCTCTGCATATATTCCCTACCAAAAAAGAAAGGTCCGTTTAATGCGTTGTAAAATAAACAAAATAAAATAAAAGCCTTCAAGAGAAAGGGCAAACAAAAACAAAACAAGAAAACAGAAGAGGAAAATGTGCCTAGCGCCTAAAAGAATGCTACAGTTGAGCAGACAGAGCCCGGAGAGTGCGATAAATAAAAGACGCGAACTGCGTGGGAAGTACAGGGGAGGAGGGTTAGGGAAGGAGATGGGGCTGGGGCTGGACGAAATTTGCATTCAAATTCTGTTAACGTGCGCTGGCCAAGAAGTGCACACTAAATGCTCGCAGGCGCCCGAAAGTATGCTTCCAATTGTGCGCAATTTAGTACAACGCACAACAAAGCGAAAGAGTGTGCGTGTGTGTGTGTCTGCATATTGTGTGCGCCTCAGTTGGAGCTGTAGCCATGCAAGCGCTTGACTAGGTGTGAACAAACGTGCGAAAGCGCCTAAAAGCAGGTAACACGAAATGGCCAAAATGGGCGTCGCTTTTACCCTGTTGCCTGTCTTTTATACCCTGTAGCCATTAAAAAGCGACAAGAACGGGTAGTGCAAGTGTCCCAATCAGGAAAAATGTCGTATATCAGACTTCATACATTTCAGCATCTGTTTAACGAGACACAAGAGTTTGGCATTTAATTGCTTCTAATTGTATGCATGATGTGTTGACTTCTAAATATTCTTTAAAATCGATATATATCGTTTTATGAACACCCTATACTTAGCTAATCAAGGAGAAAGCAGGAAACGCTGAATTATATGGCTAGGTGCTCGTAGAGCCTACAATTGTCGTGGGAACAGCTTTAATCAAGCCTTTATAAGTATTTGCAATACAACTCTTTCCACAGTTAAGTGCAGAGTATGCACTAGTCGAGCACAGCTGCACATGTTTCGCTTTGCCAACTGCGACGCCGACTACGACTGCGACTGTGATTGCGATTATTATGATTATTGTTTACTACAGCCAGGCAGCTGGGCGCTCGAGTATAAAACGAAAAACAAAAAAAAAAGTAAAAGCAAATAAACATAATAAAAGTTCATAAAATAAAAATGGCAACCCTAGCCCCCACTGCCCCCTTCGGGGGTAACAATGCGACACGGTGTGCGCTAGTTTTATGTGCCACATAAACATTTCGCACCTACTGTCCGCCCCCGCCCCCGCCCCTGTCCCTGTCCCTGTCCCTGCCTCTGCCACTGTGGACTCTCACCTTTTGCGCTTCGCTTTTTGTTGCCTGCTTTTTTGGCGCGCAAAAACTTTAACAGTGCCTCGCATTTTATTGCTTGTCTTTACATGCGAATACCCTGTAGAGCAGACGGAAATAAAGTTTTCGCGAAGGAACTTACAGATTTATAGATATTTATATGATATAAAATGCAAAGGTCGTTAGATATTCTTACATATTTAAATTACTTGTAGGAATAAATAGTTTCCTTGCTTTTCTTTGACAAAACTAACAAAAATAATATTATAGCGATTTCTCGGAATTTTTCAAATCTGCAACTTCGCGGAATGAATTATCAGAATTTTTATTGTGCTCGCTTGCGCTGTTATTTATTTTTCAGAATTTGTTTTTATTTTTCGTTTTTGTTTCTTTTGATTTGTTTAATTTGTTTTGATTTATAACGGGAAATATTCTATTGAATTTTCACAAATAGGAATTTTCCGAATAATTTCAATTTAACTTCCAAGAATAATCATAATATTACTGCTAAGTGGACTCCAACTAGAACTATAAATTCCCTAAACTCCATTTTATAACAAATTTGTAT